TTACATTCTTCGTGCGAGAGTCGCACGAGGCACTCGAGTCTGGTTTCAAATATTGCCATTCACAAATACCTTAATGTTCATCTATTTAAATTATTTAAACTACAAGATTTTAATATTATTTAAAGCTGTTACAACCTCTCCCCCAACGGAGAGACTTTTGCCGAAGGGAAAAGTTCTGTAAAATTCGAAAGTTTATAAGCTCGGCTTGCTAAATTGCTTACAGAGAAAAGATAACTTCTCTCATAAGTTTCCAAATTTTCAGGCCGAAAATTTTAAGTTTTAAACAAATATTTTTACACCACATTTAAATAGGAAGAAAATGGACCAGTGTTCAAATTAGTCTTCTTTTTTTTTCTTGACGGCGCCTAGATCTCTTCCATGGTGGACCAGTTCCTCGGCTATAATTCACAGCAAAGCCTTTCCTCAGTTCATCTGTGCCTTTCGGATAATATTCATTTGTCATTTGCTTTCGACAATTGTTTTCTTCGTCTATTAGTAGCGGCTTTGATATTAAATCAAAAGCCGAAAGATGATGATAACGCGCATTGCAAAATGATTCTCAATATTAATTTCTTTATCGATTTTTAAATTTTCGTGAACATCTTCCTCTTTTAATTCTGGTGATTTAACTTCTTCTTCAAATACATCTCTGGATGCTTTATTTTCTTCCTTCATCGGTTCCAAGATCTGCTCTTCAGCTATTTTTCTTTTCCTTTGAGCTCTAGTAGAAATGGCATTAAAATGGTATCACTAAGTTTACGTTCAAGTGATAAACTAATAAAATAAGGCAGTTCAGTGTTAACAGGAAGTAATAACCTGATATCACTAATATTACGTTCAGTGATGAACTAATAAAATAAGGCAATTCAATATCAACAGGAAGTAATAACCTGGTATCATTAATATTATGTTCAGTGATGAACTAATAAAATAAGACAATTCAATATCCACAGGAAGTTACGTTCAGTGATGAACTAATAAAATAAGGCAATTCAATGTCAACAGGAAGTTATAATCTGGTATCGCTAATGTTGCGTTCAGTGATGAACTAATAACATAAAGCAATTCAAAATTAACAGGAAGTAATAATCTGGTATCACTAATATTGCGTTCAATGATGAACTAATAAAATAAAGCAATTCAATATTAACAGGAGGTAATAATCTGGTATCACTAATATTATGTTCAATGATGAACTAATAAAATAAAAATACGCACGATTATTCTATCTTGGTCGGTGCCTCCAAAATAATTATGACTGTAATACTTCTTTGGCAATATGAAGCAACTCCAATGATGGAACACAGAAAAAAACTTTATTTAGCACTCAAAATGGCGACATACAAACAAAAAGAGAAAACACATTCTAACATTTAAAAATAAATTACATTCTTCGTGCGAGAGTCGCACGAGGCACTCAAGTCTGGTTTCAAATATTGCCATTCACAAATACCTTAATGTTCATCTATTTAAATTATTTAAACTACAAGATTTTAATATTATTTAAAGCTGTTACAGAGCACGAACTTTACGAAATTTAAGGTGATCGGTAATAATTTTATGCACTTTTCCATGAGAAATATCCAATTCATTTGAGATTTCGTCTATCGTTATGCATCTGTTTGCAAGAATGCATTCATTCACGCGGGCAGAGATTTCCGAATTTGTTGCAGTTAATGGTCTTCCCTCGCGCTCAGCGTCGTCAATATCTGTACGTCCATTCTGAAACAAGTTGCGCCATTCCGCGATAGCTTGACGTGATATTGCATTTTCACCATACACTTCATGCAACTGCCCATAAATTTCAGTGCAGTTGCACCTTTTTGCCCACAAAAAACGAATCACTGCACGCATTTCTAATTTGGACGCTATTTGCAGCTGTCGAAACATGTTTGCGACTGATTATCAGATAAACTAAACTTGCCTCGGGGAAGCCGCTACGTCAAGCGATAAAGGTACATGTCTGAAGTGCTGCCATACAGTGTCATCCAAATAGTCTTAAACGAAACATATTTACGCAGTCGTGCAACGAACTTTCTGACTGACCTACGTAATTTTGACTTATTCTTTTATGATATTACTATTATTGTTTCTGTCACGTTTCATAAATATTTAGTAAGCGAAATTTCAAACTTATTTAAAATACTTTTTCTTATTAAAACTTTTTTTTTTTAATTCTTAAAAAAAAAAAAAAAAAAAAAAAAAAAAAAAAAAAAACTGATGTGTACACCACATGACTTGTACGGAATATTAAATTATACGTATTTTTTCCTGCGTTATATTTAAACTTATTTCTTCGAATTTCATTAGAGATATATTTATCATTTAATTAATTCAGAAATCACTTCGCGCAAGAGAAAAATACGTAAAAACTCAAAAAAATATCTTCATTAAAAATTGAACGACATAGAAAAACATAAAATACGAATTACAGTCAAAAATAATTAAAAACAATTTTTTACAACTGAAATTACAATTTCTACGCAAAAACAAGCAATTCAGCCAGCAGGCCAGAAGGCAGATTTTTCGGTGCACAAAACTAAAAGTTTGCTTTGGTCCCCCTCGGCAAAAAGACGCTGAAGGTGTAGAAAGATTTCATTTACTATTCTGCTAAGTTTCAAATGTAAACAAATATGGCTGCTATGGTTTAAAAAAATCAGGCATCTCGCACTTAAACAACTTTTAAATTGTTGATAATTTTACAACTATTGCATGCAGATTGACTAAAGCATAAAAACCTTAATCGGAACATAACAACAATATAATTCAATAAATTTTAAACCAAAAAATGCACAATTTACCAGCGTATAAGAATAAAAAAACTTAGCTCACCGAGTAGGGTATATATATATATATATTTACATAGTTTTAGTTCGGCCTATTGCAACCAAAACGGGAGGTGCATATATACATTTGATAGCAGTCCCATATACAAAATTTCAACGTTTTTGAGTTATGCGAGACACATTCATACATACGTATAGACGTACAGACGTCACGAAAGAAATCCCTTCTGAGTCCATTTTAAATCAATTTCGCAATTCCTTTTTAGAAAAGGATTCCTTTATTCTGTCCGTATATACAGATGTAAAGCAAAAATATCGTTCAATTGCATTCGATAGTGGTCAAAATGGAAATTTTCGTTGAAATATGTTACCCGGAATTTTTTGCGTCCTTTACTTCGTACAAGGTAGGGAAAAATGGCCTCTCAATTGCTTCCAGATGATGGAAGCGGTCTGCATGCAGTTTAACACCACTGATTCAGATTATTGCAGAATTCTCTAGTAAAGGAAAGGAATGCCTTCGTGGAGGACGTTCTAAGTACATTTAAATGCAACTTATGGGTTAACTTTTGTTATAACAAAGTAAAATCTGCTGGAAAAAAAGCATGCTAATGAAAAAATAAGCTAGAGATCAATCTTCTGACTAAAAAATTACTTTTAGAAAGCAGTTTTATAATTAAAAAAAAGAAAAAAAAAATTAGTATTCGCAAATAATTTTTATTTTTATTTATTTATTTATTTTGCGGGGGGGGGGGGATTTTAGGATATATATACTTTTTAAAAAAAATTTTGGATAACGATCTCGAAGTTTTCTCCTTTTCACTCTACATTTTGTATAACATATTGCAATATTTTATTATAATCATTATAATTTGCAGAATTCAGTAATTGGAGGACTGGATAACAATGCACACTAAGCTCAGCTGGCAAAAGAAAGGAATGCCTTCATGAAGGACTTGTTAAGGTAAGTTAGCTTCCATTCACATTGCACATGACAACGCCTATACGGTTATCTCACATTCCAGAATTAGACAGCGGTCAAAGTATCAGTATTCAGTACCTATCGACTACTAAGGAGCCCAAATTATCGTTATAACACTCATAAAAGATCTACACACCTTAGGAATGCGGACTAGCGTATCATAAGTTCGAGCTATAACATTTCTTGCTACAAAGATACCATGATGACGACATGGACACTAAATTTAATGAATATAGACAGTACCAGAATTTTTAGAAAAATCTGCATTATTTGTGCAAACCCAGCATCAGAAATTTCGATTCCCTTAACGATCAATATAAAATGGCGCTTTATATAAATTAAACGTATTAATAATTCTTAATTAAACACATTAATAGAGATAAATATGCAAAATTGGTTTTAGTTAGGTGTTGCTTGTGATAACATCTGATCGGGTCCTTCTGAAAACTGGCACCCTAGGAGACTTGCTTATATGACTATGCTTGAAATCAGCCCTGCATTTACGTTCAGTCGCAGCTCAGTTACCAATACGAATTCAAAATATTTTTGCTTTAAATTTAAACGCACAATTAAAACCGCACAATAAATAAATATACTCATCATACAAAGAAATCATATGTAACCTAACCCAGTTTACTTCAACATTAAATAGTTTTTCTCCCGTTCTTACAACAATTTTTTAAATAAAAGCTTCTGTATCATAAGCTTCTGGCTGTGAACGAGTGTGTAGCGAAATTCTACAGGTGCACTGGCAGATAACGATCGTGAAAAGTGGAAAAAGGAAGAAATATAAAACCGCAATCCTCGAGTCGAAAAGGAGATGAATATAGTGTGGCGCGAGTCATATAAGGCTGAAAACCACAGCACTAAACGACAGGAATATAACAAAATAAATAAATAAATAAAATACAAAGAAAATATTCCACAGAAAACTGCGCAAATTATAAAGCATTTTCATATTTACATACTTTTTTCTTAATCATATAACTTTCGACTCACAGATGGCAGCACAAGAAGCACTAACAATTGCCTAATCACGCGCTAATATTAATGCGTTATAAAAATATAGTTTGAAAAAAATACCCGAATAATAATAAATAAGAATACATTGCTTAAATTTTAAAAGATGATTTCTTTGAAAACATTTACGATAAACATAAAAAACATACTTTTAATGTACGTTTTGTATATATATTAGTTTTATTAATATCAACTAACAGAAAAATGTCACTCACCATACACGTCAGTGCCGCCATCTAGTGCTTCAATTTTCTTTAAAATGATTCCTTCATCTAGAGAGAAATCCGACTTCACAGATACGTTATCTTCTGAGAAGAAAATAAAAATTGAAAATGAAAGGCATAAAAAATAAAAAAAGAGTTATTTACGTCTTTATGTGAAACAATACAAAAACCAGAAACAGAAAAAATAAATGAATATAACAAATATAATAAAAGTAATGTAATAAGAACAGTAATGCGGTACATTGGAGAAAATTTTTAGGATGTTTTTGGAGAAGACAGCAGGAGAAACAGCACACAAAATTTCGCATACACAATTTTAACACATTTTTAAAAGGTAATATGTATGCATCAGTTAAAATTCTCACTTAGTTTAGTCAGAAATTAAACTTAAAATTAAGCTGAAAATTTTTTTTTCAGGAAACTAAATACGTGAATTGGTGCAGTTTTTCGTGAATACCTTACACTACTGAATAACTACTTTTTATTATCGTATTAAAAATATTCGATTTTTTTTGCCAATATATTAAAACAGATGTAAGTTGGAGAAAATTTTCTGCGAATAATTAAAATTGTTTTTAATAATTTATAACAATAAAAATATTAAACATTTTTCACTAAATTAAATTTTATAATAAATTTGTTGCCTTACAAGGAGCTGCAAAAAATTTCTGGCATTATATGTATCCGTCATCTTATTCATTCAACTTTCATTATCATATTTATTATAAAACCCGACTCCTTCATATTTTAGGATCAATTTTAAGATATAAAAATATAAGTGAACATTTATTTTGCCTTGCAGTAAGGAGACTTAGTCCTATTCCCCTCCGTCTGAATTTACTTGAAATAACATTAGTATTCGGTATGGCCCAAATATATTGTTAGTGATACATTGCTATCTATTTATTTTCAGGCATGCCAAGTGACCAGTAATAGTGGATGAAGGCTAAAATGAAACTGTTCGGCAAGACATAATTATTATAATTTGTGGCAGTAGTGCAGATTATATTTATGGTAATTTAACTATACACTGTTATTATTAAATTACCATTTATTATGTGTATTATTCATTGTTTAGAGAGGGCAGTTATTCTATTTATTAAGATAACAATCTTCTTCTCTCATTCTGCAGTTTCATGTATCAAAATATTCTTTTATAAGACCCTACCAAATTTTAAATGAAACAAAAACAGGAAAAAAAAAAAATGACGTCTAATATCGAGTAAATACGATATTTCCCATAATTATAACTACTATTGCAGCTATATTTCTATCAGCTTTAACGAATTCTTTTATAAGATGCTACCAAATTTTAAAACAAACAAGAAAAACGAGGTCAAATTATCGAGTAAATACGGTATTTCTCATAATTATAACTACTTTTGCAGCAATACAGACAGCATCTTTTTAGCAATTACAGAAACAACATATTTTAATATTGTTACGAATTTTGTACAGGTATGCAAATAATTTTAGTGAAATTATATGTAAAACTATAGGTTTTTTTTTATTTTTTAGGGTTACAATGTTATATGAAAATCTAAAGAAGCGAAGCTCTGCCAGAAAAGTAAGAATACAAGGGCAAGTTATTTAATATTAAATGACTATCTCTCTAAACTGGCGAGATATCACCAAGGTGGCAATGGTTGCGGCGGCTAATTTTTGTTGCCAAAATTTGCGACATTTTGGTCCGATCCCCTGTATAACTGTAATGGGTATAGTAATTGAATAATTGTAATTGATCCTTTATGTAACTGTATCCGGCTCTCATATGCCTTAAAATAATTTCAAGAAGTACTAAAGATTTCTCGGCGGCCCGGGAAAACTATATAATATCGAGGAGAGCGATTTCTCCTTCAGGTCAGATTTATCCGAAAGCCTGGATGATTTATCCTTCACTGTCACGGGCCATCACGGCTAACAGTTCGCATCAAGTTCAAGTTCAATTTCTCAGTTGTTTACTTCAGCATGAGTTCGGAGTATTGGGCGCTCTGAACTCCGCAAAGCGTATCATCTCCATGATGCACTTTGCATTGAGTTGTGTTCAATGTTCTTAGTAGTTTGACGTGTAACTGGTGCTACTCTGTGGTACTGTGAAGAGCTGTACGAATGTTTTTGTGGAAAGTTGCAGAACTGTGAGGTGTATCTTCTGGGTAAAATAAATTTTATCAAGCTGCCATCGGGTCTGTGTGCATTCAATCTGTTACGAACCCGTAAACGCGCAACAAGATATATTTTTCTAAGCAAAGAAATCACGAAGTCTAGGATGCACTGTAGATAAAAGTAGGGTCTTTTTCACAGAATGTTAAGCCGTGGACTTTTGTAATGATCCGGAACCCTTTCTACAGGACTTAAATTTAGCCTTATCCCCAGCTTCGGGAGTTTTCAATCTTTGAATGAAATAGTAATTCCAATTGGACTGCGCCGGAGTGTATCTTTCTTGTAAGGGCACCTAACCACGAAGATCACGGCCAGTGCACTATTAAGATATGCTCTGGTGCTTCCTATGATTAAATATTAATATAAACTTAAAATTCTGTTACTAATGAAACATTCCTTTTAACAGTTTTCAAAACTGACATTCACATTAATACTAGCTACTGAATGTATAACAAAACTGCACTTTCATTAGGAGGAGCAAAATATGTGGGAAAGACGAGAAATCCTCCCTCCGTTTCAGAAGTACCCTATGACCGAAAAGTCCGTTAACATTTGAAAATTCAATAATTCACTGAATAATGTAGATAGAGAATTAAAAACTGACACACAAGCTTGAAATGTCATGGGGTTTTATTGAAAGAAAAGAAAAGAATAAAAACGCTTAAAACGGCCAACAGATGGAGCTTCATATGATAAAAAAGCAATAATTAGCATAAAAAAATGATTTTTAGCAAAGAGTACGTTCTTTATAACAAATTTTTAACATGTCGGCCGTCATTCATCAACAATACCTGTTGTCGAGGGTCAATGTTGTGAACAGCACTGTACAGCATATCTGTAGGTATGGTTAGGAATTGCCTTCTTTTAACATCCCTAATGAGGTCAGACGATCGCGGTAGACTTGCGATTTCAAGTAACCCCACAACCAATAATCACACGAATTGAGATCTAGGGATCTGAGAGGCCAAGCATGACGGAAGTGGCGGCTCAACACCCGATCCTCACTAAAAGATGTGTGCAAGATACCTTTACCTTTCACACCTGTAGCAATATGGGACGAAACCCCATCCTACATAAAAGTCATACCTTCCAACAGGTCTTTATCAGTTAGACTAAGGATGATGCGATTCTGTAACATATCAGCGTACCTCGCACCCGTCACACTGACAGTTTGAATAGCAGAACCACACATTTCCTCGAAGGAAAAGGGTCCGATCACGATTGAGGTGATAAATTCACATCACACCGTGACCAGTACTTTTTGTACTTAGAGTTATAGATGTTCATTAACTGTTAGATATTGCCTTGTAGAGACAGTAGGTATTTTTGGAAGCATGCAAGATGAAAAATTAGCGACGCTTTCGCCGGGAATCGAACCGCGGACCTCTCAAATACGCGCTGAACGTGCAGACCACTAAACCACGAAGGCTCGCTAAGAAAGCGGAGAAATACCTTATAGCCTCAAATGTTAAATGAAATTTGTGTTTAAAAATTATTTCTAGCCACGACATAAGAGCTACAACATTTTTTAAAACATATTAATTACTATCTTATTAAGGTTGCTATTAATATTGTTAACTTACTAAGGTTACTACTAATATTGTTAACTAACTTACTAAGGTTGCTATTAATATTGTTAACTTTTAAGTTATTGCACCATTAACCATATTTTTTAATATTATTGTTTATTAAAATACTAATATAATCATTAACTTACTAAAATTCTTAAAGCAAACGTTAATCACATTTAATAAGCTCAGACGTCATAAATGATAATAAGATTTTAAGATATTCAGTTCACTGGCATTTATAATTCACAAAATTGGTTAGATCTTTGCATAGATAAATGAAATTTGATTAATTGAGTATTTTTTAGTCTAGACCATTAAAAGGCATTATATACATGTACATTCTAATTGTTAACGATATTTTATCGTATCCAATAATTTTCAAGAAAGAATAAATAGTTTTGAAAAAATAATGAGGGCTTTTCTTATTAGCATCATCGCCTCAAAAAGGCTTTACTGTTAAACTGCAAAAAATTTCCAATATGGTTACCAACTAAGAGGTTAAGGAATTAAATGTTGGTATGATAAATATTTACTGTTAAACAATAGTTACCGAATAAACCATTTGATACAACATTTTTACACTGAGGTGGTACTGCTAATGAGAATGTACCAATTATAATATTTTTTAAACTATGAATAACTTCAGTAAAAGAGCAGGTTATTTTCAGTAGCAAGTACAGTGTTGGTGATTTTTGGCGAGGTATTTATTTGATAGTTATAAAGGGAATAAAATATGATACTATGTTCAAATATCAATAAAATATGATAATTATGCTCAATCACGAAAAGCAAGCTTGTCGCCAATGATATCCAAATGTCATCAATAATCGTCAAAGCGAAGCTCTCAGCACTAAATGAAGATAAACCAAAGAATAATTTAATATAGCAGTAATGATAAGGGATATAGCAGTAAATAAAATGTTCAGATATATAGCAATAATTTTACTTAATAAAATGTGATATGAGAAACTACAAAAGAATGCTATCCAATAACTAGAAAGTAATATAGGAATAAAGATTAATTACATATTTCGTTGTCTAAGTAAATTTTGAGTCAAATTTATCAGATTAATAATAAAGCATTTATTTGATTTATTATAATTGATTGCAATACATGGATAAAATTTAAATGATAACGATATTTGGTTGTTAAAATAGCTTCAAAAATTTTATTTATCGGCTATATCAGAGCCACCAGCTTCAGTCTCCCACATAGGTTTGAACTTCGTCCATGACGTACTCCACAAAAGACATAGATAATCCTATTAAGCTTGGTACTAAAACAAAATACTTCAAAGGAAGATGGGAACAATGCCACCATAACAACATCACAGCTAGACTGTCTACAGCCATACTGAAATAAAGGCTGGCTGTAGTTCGAGTTTTGAGGCTTTCGGATAACGCCAGGAGAGGCAGGACACAAGTAAAAAGCCTCGAAGCACAAGAGATGAGTCCAGTCTGAATAGTGATGTCATAAAAAGTGTTGCTACATATGTAAACGCAAAAGACATTGAGAACATTTAGGACATACATCACAACAACCATTGTTCCCTTGAAAGGATTATTTTGATACACATAATTCAGTACTTTACGAGCCAAACCGATAACAATTCCGCAGGCACCAAGACCGATATAATACATGTCCATTTCGACTAAACCGTAGCTGAAACAAACAGTGGCACTGATGAATTCTGCAAATGTCCTGAAGATAGCAACATATCCGTCCAAAAGAATGATAGAGTGGCCTTTGAAATTTTTGAGATAAATGTAGCAAATGAGAAATGCTACACAATTCGTAAATGCGCTGACTAAGTAAATTGCTTTATGCAGCAGTTCTTGGGACACTGAATACACCAAATCTTGAGAGACGTTTACAAAAGACGATGAATTGAAATTTGAATAGAATTTGGAAAATAGTAAAGTTGCATTAGCCGCCATGATACAAATTTATAATTTTGATGCTGCCAAATTATATAATAAGAGTATATAACGTAGAGAAAATGGCCAACGAATTGTTCTCGTGCTTTGGTTTAAAAATTACGTATTTCATTTTGATTAGTCACAATTTTAAGATATGTTGTTTTGTTACTTTTCTAAATCCAGTTTTTCTGAAATTTCGCATTTTTTTTAATGATTTAATGCTACACCAAACCAATGCTATTTCAATTCTACTAAAATCTTAAGCCATGCCGGATTGATGTCTGAAATTAACATGCAGAAGTTTCTAAATATCAGTTTTAACTTGAAGTAGTGGCAACAATAAGAAAATGATTGTACAAAGTTTAAATATTAATGTTATTTATTAAGCATACGCCAATCAAAGCAGTTCTACGCGGATCTTCCGCAAACTATGAGAAATATCCCTGTTTCGAGACTAATATCCCAGAATGCGGATGAAAATTGCAGCTCTATTGTAAGCATCTTCATTTTAAACATTATATTTTCTATAAATATATTACACATATTTTATCTGTTAAGTTAAATTGCTATTGTATTGATTCAGTTACCTCCACTGTGCATTCACCTAAGTTAAGCACTGGTATAAAAGCTTTGAATTCTTTGTGTTTATACAGAATTCCAGTTCTGATAATGGAAGATGATTGAGTCAAAGAATGCATCTCTTTGTAATGTGTATGATCCGACCATGCTGGGTGGCAGTGGCACACTACCGGAAACTTGATTGGAGGGTGCCGGTACCTGACGACCGCGATCCGGATTTCGCTGAAAATAATACTGATGCCATGGCATTTATTTTAGGTAATCTTATCGAACGCCAGGTTGCTAGTTTGTGATTGGCATATAAATGATATTCTCTAAAGAGTTATCTACTTCTATAAGTATACTTAAACACATTATAGTAATATATAAAAAGAAAACTTTATTAAATAAGTTTAGTCAAAATAAGACTTACCGCATTCTACAAAACCATAACAAACTCTCTAGATGCCAGATACATTTTTAACTCATTCTTTTACAATTTAAAAAAATATCAATGTTGCCAAAATATTAAAGCTTAAAATTATACTTTATAAACAAATACTATCAATTCCTCCCTTATTTGTGTTTAAAGATATAATTTAATCAGTCAGTCATGTCCATACTTTAATAGTTCATCATTCAATTAATTTCACCCTAGGTAGATACTTTGTTAAAATATCCGCTTCTTGATTTTGTGAACACACAAAATGAGGAACGATTTGATTCATTTCATATTCATCTTTCACTAAGAAATATTTTCGATTAATGTGCCTTGAACTACTACTTTGTTTTGGTTTTCTTATCCAATCTATTAATGCTTGACTGTCTGTTCTAATTTCTGTTGGTTTATCAATTAGATCATCTTGTCACAATTCTTCAAGTAAAAAGATGTACCATTTAACTTCACATGCACATTCACAGAATGCTAAAAGTTCAGCCTCCATTGTAGATAGAGCAACTATTCTTTGTTTGTTGCACTTCCAATTTATGAAATTTTTACCTAATTTAAAGAAAAAAAACCTTCAAATGATTTTCCATCTTCAGTGGTACACCAACTTGCATCTGATGTAGCATTTAATTTCCCGTTGTCTGAAGTATATACTAAACAAGCTTTGTGTTCCTTTAATATATCTAAATATCCTCTTCACAGCTTTCCAGAGTTTCTCTCTGGGATCTTGATTATATTTTGACAAACTACTTATGGCAAAAGCTAAGTCTGGCCTTATGCCTGTTGCTAAGTGCATCAATGAAACTAATGCTTCTTGATATTTTGTCTTCGACACAGGTGGCGAAGATGCTATGTCATCAAGATTTTCACCCAATATTCCTGGAGTCTTGACAGTTTTACATTCATCCATTTCAAAGTTTTTTTAAGATTTTAGTTATATAGTTTTCTTGACTGAGTATAAGTTTTCCAGATTCTTGACGGATGTCTATTCCTAAAAATTTTTGTGTTTTAGTGACTTCTCATAATGTGAACGATTTAGATAGTTGAAAGATGATTTCGTTTATCTCAGAATTTGAATTTCCAATCACCATTAAGTCATCCACATATACTGCTATGATAAGATAGTTGATCTTATCTTTATAAATATAAACATACGGATCTGACTTTAGTCTAGTTAAATTCTTTTCCTTAAGAACTTTACATAATTCATCATACCAGCATTTTCCTGATTGTGGTAATCCATATATACTTTTGTTTACAAGATATACTTTGTTCGGATATGATATAAATCCAGGTGGTTGTTCCATGTAAATTGGTTTATCCAAGTATCCATTTAAATATGCAGTTTTTACATCAAAAAATCTTATTTTGTAGTTTTTTGTAAACTGTAATCGATAACAATGTTATAAAGGTGCAAGTGTCATTACTGGGCTAAATCCATCTTCATAATCAATTCCTTCTCTTTGATTAAATCCGGTTGCTACTAGTTCCAGAAATCCACGTTAAGGCAAGAGCAGTGCAGAGAGCTTCTTGTTTGTTTCTTTTCGATTAGTCTGTTATAGAATATAGTAATAATACTTTTACTGTCTGAAACGTAGCTTTGGAAGGTTTCGTAGATATTTTTCGGGCATTTAATGTGCCTGAGCAGGTCTAGGACCTCAGGCCACCACTCAAAATCAAATGCATTTTAAAGATCAAGACAGAGTCTGATGTATTGAAAAAATTATGTTACAGATTCAAAAGAGGAGTTCAATCTTTGCGTCAATGAATTACCTTCCGATCTATCCGATCAATCACAGATTAAAATTCTTAAATTATTAGTTCGATCATTAACTGAAGATATATGAGAAGAATCTCTCAGACATTGAAAAAACTGTTCATATATTTGTTTGAAGAGATGCATTCCCCAAGAAGAACCTGCGCAGAATTTTGGAACTTTTCATTTTATCTGTGGGCTGTCCTGATACATATTATCAAGCATTGTAGTTGCGCAGGCGACTATGAGGAGAGATATGCCGCAAAAACGATGCAGCCTGAGCACGAGACTAACAGCATGAATGCTTACTGACATGTATTTAATACACACAAGTTATCTTAAAATGTTCCTAATTGCACTTTAGATATTAAGCAAAGTATATAACACGTTTAAAACATTTATTACAAACAGGCGAAACTTACCGTTCTTCTTTTTATCTTTCTTTTCTTTCCGGCTGAAGCCCCGGAAATGTTTCTTTTTCTGTTTTTCTAGTTCCGGCAAGGGAGGAGCGCTGGAGCTTCTGAGCTGTATATCTTCACTGTAACTATCACTGAATTTCTGATCTTTGAATAATCTATTATCATTATAATCATTTTCATGATTGTTGTCGACGGCGGAATAGAAAGGTGAAGGAGTAAGATTCACACCTAGAAATTGCAGAAAACAGTAAAAAAATTTTTCGAATACATTTTTATTATATTACTTTTATGAAAAAGGACTGCTTCAAAGAACATTTATTGAAACTATTCAAAGCACCAGTTAAGTACCCCGTTATATTAGACATCGAGATCGATAATAAATTCGAGCCATTTTTTATAAGTTTTAATTAAAACTTTATAATTTTGAATAATACGCAAATCAGAACAAACTGTTTCTACAATACTTGACACTGATTTCATACATAAAAGTAAATAAACTAAGGGTGATACACAGAAGATGAATTTAGAGTTCATGGTACGAAGCAGTTTGTTATCATTGAAGATGAAAATGTTCGTTATGCGAAATATGCTGCTACGTTGTTTATAAGGCACTATCATACAAAAAGGTTTGGGGTAGTCACAGCACACTTGCGGGCCGCTTGCTGTCTTTTATTCATTTTTATGTTGCCCTAGGTTTAGCCCCGAAAACAGCAAAAAAATATAAGTATAATATATTAATAAACACTGCAATTTTACCAGTTATAGAAGCGTATGTACAATTTCAGGTGTTATAAAAAAACTTAAAGGTCTCTCTGAAAAAATATTTAGTCCATTTACAGATGGAATTAACAAATTTAGCGGAACTCAAAGCAAACATTCAGCGAAATGGGTAATGTAATGTAATATATGAGTGTTCGAGTGTTATCAGCATTTGCTAGTGCTTCCAGCGAAATGGAATGAGAAATGGAGAATGTTACAAATGTTTGCCTGCGTGATTCTCAGAAAGCCGCAAATTTGCAGCGTACATGATTTCCATGCTCAGTAGTACGTAGTAGTATCAATGTGAACAATCTTCCTAACTAATCAAAAGAAACAAGTCCCCAGTAAGGTTCAGGTTAAAAACATTTATCGGACCTCTGCTGTGAAAATTTCTCGTTCGAGCAGCGTGTCTCCAAACATCCTGAAGCTATGCTTATATACTGATGACTATTTCGCCCATTTGAGATACTCAACTTGACATGCCTAGTTAGAGCTAATGTTTCGAGCAGAAAATATGTTATACTGAACTAAGACGTAACAACATATGAAGGCAAGGCAGGAAAGTGGTTTCAGCATATTCAAATATGGAAGTATCAGCGTTGAGGTCTTGTCATAAAACGACGACAAATAGGGAGAAGCCTAGCATTGAACAATGTAATGAAAAGACAATTCGGCTGTTGTGAGTGAAGTTCGATGTTCATAGTCCACAGCCGTTCGCCACTTCCAAAATGCCAGTTTCGAGCCCAGATATTCCGGTTATGCTTATAGGGTACCGTATTTCAGCTTTTTCCAGCTTTTTAGCGCTAGGTTCCGAAAATTATACGCAAATTTTCCCCTTCCTCTGTTGTACATGGCTTTTCCCTCTAAGGGCTTGTTACCAGTAAATTCTGTTTCCTTGATTATTTTAATTTTTATTCAAACTGTATTTGCATTTTTGTATTACCCTTTCATCTATTTTATTTTATTTTGCATTTATAATATGAAACATAATTAATCACGAACTCCCATGCACCAACGAACAGCTGGAACGTTTGTAAGCAAGCAGCTTTGCAAAAATCAAAATCGAGAATATCAGATAAATGAATGAATACAACAGACTTCTACCTTTCTTTTCCAACTAACAATCTCTTATGAAAACATTCATGACGACAAATATTATAGGTGCTGCCATTCTTTAAAGACACTACCTTCAAAATGTCTATTCCTTATATGAATTTTGTCCGAAGACCTCGGGTAGTTTCCAGTAGTCACCATACCCAGCAAGGCTTATGGTTTAGAAATCGATTTGCGGTTGACTTAATTATGAAACTTTGGTTTTTTTATCTGAAGTAGAATCTGGCTAAAGGCAAGAAACAAATCAGCGCAAAGAACTAGTACTAAAGAAAATAAGAGCTCAAATTAATACTTGCAAAATGAAGTTAAATGTTGTGGGGATTTATTTAGTTTTACTAACAGCTAATTTTTAGTTAGAGCAACTTTAATTTCAGGCTAGTTTTTAGCCACGCTTTCCTGTTAAAATGCTAATAAGCCAGCGCGTGTGTACTCAAATTAAGGCAGAAAGCAATGCTATTTAAGGGAAGGTTTTTGGAATGTAACTTTAGAGCGTGTTATGCCTTCTTGAAAGCCACGCTGCTTCTTTGAATTATTAGCTATTTGATTCTGTGTCGCTAAGTGCTTCTAGCCATCAAGCTTGTTTCTGCCAGCTTTTACGAGTCAGAGCCTTCTTGCACGTTAAATTATCCTGTGAGCGATTAAGTTAAATTTAATATATTTTATTTTTAAGTTTAACGTTACCTGTTTGAGTTAAGCCAGAAGTGTTAGCTTTAGACTGTCAGTGCAACTATATTGATTGAATAAAGGATCCCTTAGTCTGACTTTTCTGTTGTACTAAAGACTGGATAATTCCTTATACAATCTTTTTGAGCTCGTTAGGTTACACTACCCAACAGAACGGGGCCCTATAATTTCTTTAGAAATAAAATGAAAAAAAAAATCAGCTTTTTTAGAAGTTACTTTAAATATTAAAAAGAATAAAAATGGTCAGCTGATCGGATTTACTAATAATTGAAAGTCTCAAACATAAAGACATCAGATATCACTAATTTTAAATACTAGAAGCATATTGTTTATTCCTACGATATTAATAAAGAATAGAGAGCAAAATAAGAAATATGCAAATGCTTAAAGTTATGGGTGTAATAAGCAAAGCAGCAAATAAGAATCACTTTATACTTGAAATCAAATCAAATTTTAAAATGGTTTTGATTACATCGATGTTATTTAAGATCGTAAAATTCCCATATTTAAGCTGCAGAAGCAAAACTTACACAGTGTGATTGGCTTGCATTGTAAAACGGAAAATAATTATGATAATTAATCTCAGCATGAAAAATACCATTTGGAAATTTTTCATTTCTAATGGAAACAAATCTAAGAAATTAAAGGCTAAAATCTTGCTTTCAAAAAGGTTGAATGAAGATAAGTCTGGAGAGCGAAACGACGTTTTTAATTATAAATGTGCATTTTCCTCGATCGAGCATCAAATCGTGGCATTAATGGAAGCAAGATCGAGACTCATGTTCTAGCACAACACCAATGAACACTGACCTGCAGAGTGCCACCTATCAGCAAATATTGCCATCATAAATTTAATAGCGTTCTGCGCCATCAATTTAGATTTGCAAGTAAATTAAGTGTTGCCACTAGTTAAATAACAGAACACGCCCAACATTTACAAGCATAATAAAGCAAATTATGTTCAGACAAAAGCCAAGCAGAATAACTGCTGAAGTACATAACAGAGAAGAGAACATTTAGAAATTGCTCATCTTCCATCATAACACGTTAAGTAGAAGTTATACAACATCTTTGCCGAATTAATGGTACTTTTTAAAATATTGTATACACAATATAGGTTTAAACAATTTAGTCATTACTAATTAGGAAACATTCTTCTCACCGTTACGTTTCTCGTAATTTTTATTTTAATTTTCATTACGGCACGAGCAATTTTTATTTTATTTTTCATTACGGCAAATTATTTCTTCCATATTCGTAAATTTTTCGCTTTAGAATACGTTATGGTCATTAAAAGTAAGTTCTTAGTTCATGCTTTATTATTCCTTAATTTTGATAACTATTAATTTTTTATTATTCACTTAAAATTAAAATTAATATCAAAGTTTAAGCAACTAGGGAATATTAGAAGCTATAACGGAGACTTACAATTTATTTAAGATACGACAAATATCACAAAAGTCTATAGTGTGTGTATATGATTATGGCAAAGCCTCGAGAGCTATCTGCCTAAGGGGAGGAATGCCTTCGTGGAGGGTTTTCTAAGGGAAACTGGCTCGTACACACGTTACACATGGGGAAATCCACGAAAACGCCTATGCAGCCAGCCTGTTCGCGGGATTCGAACCTTGGACCAAACTACCAGAGTTCAGCGACATTACCGCTCGGCCGCTGGTGGGCCAAACGTCTATAGTAAGATTACTATTTGCATTGTAGCCGTATGCATACATAAGAAGTGAATTAAAACGTTTAGTTTCATAGCAACAGCTATTAACAAAGTGACGCTGTTAATTACGATACTTTTGTCATTTCAAAGCAAATTAATTAAATGACTTTGTAATGCGTGTATTAGTTGAAGCATGGGAAGTTAAAAAATTTCTAATTTATTACTCAAATTAGTTTTGTATGGAAGTTAGCTATTCAGTTACATCTAAAATTCTACATTAGGGGTTCTCAACCAGAGGGGAGAATGCGGTCAGACTTTTATTTACCTATTAAGTATTCTTTTTAGTTTATGAATATGAAAAGCTACTTTTATTCAAGTTTTCGAATACTTGTCAACATTTTCTCTACTTTTCCTTGTTTAATTTACAAAACACATTTAAAAAATAATCTAAATTTATATTAATGCATATGCATTTTTCGAATTTTTGAAAAGACAGGGGGACGAATGATCATTTAGCAATAGAGGAAGGGGTGCATGGAGCAAAACAGGTTGAGAACTCTTATTCTGTATGGATTATTTTAATCCTAGCACTTACCTATTGGTAAGGTTTTTGACCTTAGAGTAGATACTGGCACTTTATCGGGTTCTGTCAGTGAACTGTTGAGCTCCAAGTCACTCTGACTAGAGACATAACCCAGACTGCTCGCAGAAAGGCTGAAAGTAGACAAGCTGGACACTTCTTTGGCATTCCCGCTAGACGAAGGCGATATATCACTTTTAGGAGTAGATGTCTGACGGATTTCTTTTACACCGGGAGATAAGTCATCTTCCATTGAATATGATAACCCTAACTGTGGCCTATTGAGTGCATCGGTTGGCAGAAGATTTGGCAAATCTTCGATCGTTTGCACTAAAGGCGCAGGAATGGTTCTAGAGCATCGACTGCAAAATTTCATTTGTGGACTGAAGTTCTTGGAGTTGAGAGAGTTTGTAATTTTCTGGCAAGTAAGTTTGTGCTCATCTTCAATGGGATCATCGATAAAACTAGTAGTTGCCGTGTGGAAGGAGTCAGTATCATCAATTCCATCTGGAGAGGTATCATATTTCGACGAACTGGTAACATAAGAGCAGGAAGTTTCAGCTGTCGCGTTCTCAGAAATTCTCGATGTCTCCATAAATTTGTTCATTCGCTGGAGGGAGAATGTTTCAGTTTTGTTTCCCTTCGCAGTTCCAGGTGGCGAAGGCGGCACAAAAGATGGAGGTTTCTTCTCAAGACCTTTTATTTTATTCAGTTTTAAACGCCTTCGTGTTTCTGCAAATCTCTGATCAAGTTTACGAATCCTTTCTTTACATGTGCAGTTTGCAGCATGGTACTGAGATGATAATATTTCGCTTGAGGTAGGCTGAGGTATTTTCACATCTAATGACGAGTCTGCTGATAAATCATCCGACGGCTGTAATGACGAATGGCTGCTTCCCTCGAATCCACTCTCCGGAGATAAGTCTGCAATGTCTATCTCAGATACCTGCATCTGGTCTTTTTTCTTTGACTTGAAACTCGATCCTTTTTGCCGTATGTTTAATTCTGCATTTAACGCGCTTGCAGAAGCTTCTGCGATTTTATCTTCAAACATTTGTTTTCTCTGCTGGAATGGAGAAGAAAAGCTTTTGCCTTCTTCAGAATTCATGATGAGTTTATCAATAGTTTCTTCCAGCTCACAACCGCAATTTGCACATTTTCCAGATTCACAAACACCATTTCGATGATGAAACACGTCGCCATTTTCTATGTCTCCATTTTCTTCTGCTGATAAATCGTTTATCGGTCTCTTTGCGTGATGATGTTGAGATAAGCGACCCTGATTGCTTTGCGGCGCGGAGTCGAAACTATCCAAAGAAGCATTGTCTGTTGAAAAATTAAAAACATCACTATCTCGCTCACTCAATTTTGTTCCTGGACTTCTCTTTGGTATAGGAGGTGGCGAATTAATTTTGGCCTAAAGATTGAAAAAAAAAAAAAAAATGATTGTTAAGCACAAGGATTTTATTCTAAATACAAAACATGCATACGACAGATATATTTTTTAAATATATAATACTTGCACTTTAGATTTGAATATCAAAGAGGAAATTTAATTTATACATATCAAAAACAATTTGGAAGGCTACACATGATATTTTTGCGTGATATTACATCAAAATTTGCGTGAAATAACATCAAAATGTTAATATGTTGTCACGGTAATTCCTAGACTCTTGCATGCAGCAGAATATGAACTTACACAGTTAACGTTTTTTTAAATGTGGGATGCTTTATCAAGTGACGTGCACATGTTTATGCAGTACCCAAATACATAATATAAGGTATTGCAAACACATTTTATCAATTATTATAATGAAGTAAAATTACTATACAGATTTTAAATGTTCTCAAAAATCATTCAGGTAAATATATAAATCTTATAAAATAAATATATTATAAATTATATCAATTAAAATATTAACTTCAGATAAATGTTTTTGTAATTTGTTTTTGGTCCTTGAGTTTGCAGCCATACTCAGAACATTTCCATAAAATACAAAATATCAAAACGGTAAGTAGGGAAAAATATTAAAAATCTGTGTTTATTTTTGAAGTAACACTTTAATTCCAGCTTTCTAACGTGAAGGTTTGCTCGTTTTTCTGCTAGCAAACCGTCGACGACATTGTTGGAGACTATTTCACTCTTTACACAATAGAAACTACAGTATACTCTTATTGCTGTTCTGTAAAGAGTGCAATAAGGTACTCATTCTTAGGTCTCAGGTAATTTTTAATCGATTTTTTTTTTTTTTATTTAGAAAAACTCCTTTCCCAGTAAGTAATATGGCAGTTATGAGGAAAATTCACAGTAGTATTGTAATTTGACACTACATTCTAGAGATTGTATTTTAGAATGAACTTCAAAAATTCAAAAAGATCTCGCCTTAAGTCCTTTCTTCGTATTTCCTTAGAAAGAAAAGAAATAAAGCTTCGAAATATTTATTTCTCAAAGAGAACTAGTTCCTCAGCTTACATTCCCATTTTTAATTCGAAAATTTTAATGCAAGAAGGAGAACAATAAAGAGTATGAAGCTATTGAAAATTCATTGTTATTTCTTTCAATACTTAGTCCAATATAAAGATCGTTTCGCTTCTTAATTCAATTTCGAAGTTCTTCTTAATTCAGTTTGAGCATTGCACGATTCTAGATCTGTTATCAATTTATTTTTTCTGCTCTGAAGATCCACATGACGGAGCCCTCTAAAGTTACGTTTTGCGTAAAAACAAGCGCTTCAAAAGATATGCCGCCCGGGGCATATCTTATTCTACCCAGCTACATCACCGATATCATAAAAAATATACATAAATTTAAATTATTAAGTAGTTTCTACACTTAAAACCTCTCATGGCAACCACTTTTTCTGAGATAATTATCAGAGAACGTGACCAGTATTTGTAAGAACACGATTAAATAACGGCAACATATGAAGTTCTCTGGGGAGTCGTGGTTGATTTCAATGCACATTACTCTCAAGTTACCCAATTAAAATGCTTCAATGTTTTAATCTGAAGGTTAAAAATTTTATGCCACCTCGAATGGCAACACTCAGATAACGGGCAATTCACGAAGCTATGTAGATTTTAAATGATTCGGCAAAGATAGATTGCGCACTGAAATCCAGAACAATAACCCAAACTGTTTCGAAACATTACATTGGTCAGTCGTCATAAATTTGCTGAAGTCATCGTAAGGTTAGCAAAAAATTCCAGTACTACAAAGGGGCTAAAAAGTTGTAGACAATCTAATGATATGTGTTAAAAGATTATTATACTGTAAATATCGTGAATAAGAAACACTAAGGGAAAAAAATCTTAAAAAAAGAAAGAAAGAAAAAGAAAAAAGAAATGATAATAATAAAAAGTCCGAAAGGATTTTTAGATTTTAACGAGCTCCCAAAAGGGCTTTTTTAAGGTTTAATAAGGTTTATCAGTAACAAATTATCGATACAGATGGCCCAGGTCGAATAATGTAACATTTTATACGATATTAGGTGAATTTGCATTTAGAATAGCATAAGAATGTTACATACCTTCTGTATATTTGAAAAGTGAAAAATAGATAATCAAATTTTATATAAATATTTAATATTTTTAATTAGATATATCGTGAATTAAAACCAATTTTATTTAAATCAATGCGATTAAAAATTAAAAGAAATAATATACTTAAGAACTGCATCTATTGCTTTTAAATAGTTTATTTTGCTACTTAGTAGCAGACAGATTAAATATGAAAGAATAATATCTCACGATTTTCTGAATGTCAGAAGACTCGAATGAAAAATAAAAAATGTAACGCATAAAAAATTTTTTAAAAAAATGAAAAACATTAAAAATTTAAAAAAAAAAAAAGTACAATGCATTGAAGTGAACCAACCCAGAATCGCGTTTCGAGATTAGTAGCCCTTTTGGCCTAACAAAGCTTCCTTAATAACACAATTCTGAATTCTCTATATTAACAAATTATTTGTGCTGCCAGTTCGCCACTGAGGAAATCAGTTTAAAAAATATTTCACTTTTGAAATTTTATACAGTTTTGGGCTTTTATGCAGTAATTTCCGAAACGGTGCAAATCAAAGAGCATGAAAGTACAGATAATTCAAAAAGAATTATCCAATTTTATATTTTTACAGATTTAAAAACTAACAAACAAAACTGTTAACTATTACATAAACATAAACGGAAAATGTCTTAATATATATAAGCTTTAAAGGGCACTAATATGTGAAAAGTTCTTTTTGATAAAAAATGAAAATGGCGAACAGCAGAAAGCGTTTTGCTTATTGTTGTCTGCTGGATATCAGAAATTTGCAATGAAATAGAGGATTTGGTTTTAACAAGTTTGGTCCTACATAATCCTAGAATTTAATTTAATTATATCGTTTATTATATAATTATAAGAGTTTATTTACGTTTAGCGTTCCATTACATGTATTTCATTAAAAATAACATTTCGATTTCCTTTAAGTTTATTATCTAAACACATTATTCATTTTTAATAATAAAAATATTTTACATGTCTTAAAAAAAAATCTTAATACTTTGAAGAAACTTACGTATTAGTTTTGTAACATAGAAGCCTTACCATTATTGTTTTCCTTAAGTGTTTTAAAACGGGATTCATCTCATATCTTTTTTGAATACCGGAAGAAGCTCAAGTTTTAGAACTTGATGGAAGTATCGTTATTTTCAGAACACTCAATAAAATTCCGCTCCCATTAAACAAACGACTGTAGTATGGAAGCAGTTGCCTATGTACGCAGTATAGTAACTCGCATTTATCTTTGAAATTATAAAAACACATACTTTATCAATGCAACAAAATGAATCAGTATTTCGATATTTTTCGATGGTGTCATTATTACTGAAAGAACATTTGATATAGGAATTTCATTCCGTTAGCAGTGATTTCATTGTTATTTACAAACAGAAGGTTGAAATTTCGTAAACAAGTAGTTATTTCAAAAATTATTTTTATCACCAGCATAGTTCACGAAAGATGTTCGCAATGCGTTTGTATAAGGTCATAAGTATCTTTTCTATCTTAACCACGCAGTGACGTCTGCATTAAAAAATGAAACGCAATTAAGACACCTAAATTCTGTAGCAACGTAGAGTGCAGCAGTCTCTATACTTTCTTTTTTAATTTTAATTGAATGGCAAGGATTTAATTTCATTAAATGGCGACAAGCAGTATTATACTGTTGTTTCAAGACAAAAGCGGAACACTGATTGATTTTTGTTGCACAAAGTTTCCGTAAATTTTGGGTCTTGGAATTCAGAATCTTTACAAATCCTGTTAAACCGTACGTAAATACAAAAAAAAAAAAAAAAAAAAAAAAAACATTGCATGCAATAAAAAAAAATTTCACATGAATTTTACGATGGATTTAAACATGCCAAACGGGAAGAATACTAATTTATGGCATATTTCAGGGATTAAACGGGAATTTCAAATATCACCCTGCAAATCTGCCAATTAAAAAAAAAGTTTTGTATTGAGATACGTAATATATAGCGTTAGTAATACAGGTCGGTCGTGTGGATGATAAATAACATGTGCATCGGTCCAAAATATTTCGAAAGAGTTATTGTTTCATTTTGCAAAGAAACGTGTCCTGGTAAAAAAGGAAATAATTACTAACTCGTGTAGTCAAGGATCTTTCAAGTTGTAAAAATAAACTGTTTATCAGTGTGTGTTCAGTGTGTAAAATCAGTAAAATCAGTGTGTAAAATGAGTTCAATAGTGTTTTGATATTTTTTGATTACAGCGAGATTATTTACAGGATGTTTGCAGCGTATGATTTCATTATTTATTCTAAACAGAATGGTGACGATTTTTTTTATGACTGTCAGACATTTAAGCATTTTATGAACATTTATATTATTACTTTCGCTAAGCCACTTCGAAGATATTTTATTAAGAATTTTAGTGACAGGGATTTTATATTAAGTGATCCTATATACTATATAGGAAATCTAAGTGAGCTTTCTTTTTAATCATCTACCAGTTCACTGCAATCTGCATTAAAAATAAAATCTAATAACAATAGAAAAATTATTCAGAGATATGTAAGTTACTATCGTCTGTATTATTTCGCAATTTTATTTAGTCATTAAAGGTATGGTGTTATTAAATGAGAGATCTTTAGAATGGATTGGCAACGGCTTTCTTTTTAATGCCTGACACCAGACGTCATTGTTTTCACAACACTGAATTTTTTTCCAGGCAAAATTCCAATCGTCGCCACTTCACTTTCAGGAAATATTTGTTTATAAATCTCGTACACAAGCATTAGAAAAACCTTTTCAAACGACAATAATATTACTAAAAAAAACGTTATGACAAAAGTTACTTGCTTTACCCCAAAATAAATAAACAGATAATACTAATTCCATAAAGAAGTTAAATGCGTATATTGCAGTAATCGAAAACGAACAAAAGTATTGCATATTTCTTTCTCCTCAAAAATTCTACTTAAATTAAAAAGTTGCTAATTCTTGGCCGAAATCGCGCAGATAAATTCATTAGAACACAAAAAAAGCGCTTACATGCAGGAAATGCGATAGTTATTTTCGGAATTTTTTTTTCTTTTAAACAATAGATAAAATATAATGCGGGAAATTAAAAAGATTCAAAAGCTTATATTTTATCATATTATTTTTAATATTTATACATGGAATGTAGTAGTTAAATCTTTAATTCTAATATTCATTCATTATACAATTTAAATAGATGCAATACTAGACTAAAAGCAATAAAACATAATGAATTCTTAAAGTTAATTATTATATATCGTCGCTCAGTGATTTCTATTGAAATACAAAATTTGTTGTTGGAGAAAATTTAAATGCACTTCCGCAGTACGAATCAGTAGAAATTATTTTGAATGAGCGGGCATACCTCAAAGATCTTCACGGGGGTAAGACGCATGCCTTGAAACTATGTACACGTAAACGTAATCAAATATTTCGAATGATTCAACTTTTGGAGATCTGACCCCATTTCTCCAAATTGTTTGCATATATTTCTGGTAAATAAATATTACAAGGCAAAATTACGAACCTGTTCTTGAAAATGCGTCCGATTGTTATGACTAGTGCTGCCATCTGTTGATTGATTCTTGTTAGAGAATTTGTCATCAGAGGTGTACGAATAATCAGTGAATTCATTATTAGATTCCCCTTGCTCCCATCTGCTGAAATAAATTACGGTTATTAAAGAATGTGTATCGATAAAATTTTAGAGATTAAGACACTGAAAGACATTAATAACTATTTGTTTTAAATTTAAAACATTATGGGTAAAACATAAAGTTTTAAAAATAAATTATCCACAACACTGAATAATTGAAAGTAAGGAATTTTTATGCCATAGATTAAGACAGAAATCGCAGTATTAAATAATCAATAAGCACTTTTTAGAACAATACAATGACAATTAACGCTGAAAAACTCAATCACGTACCTAAAATGCTACTATCTAAAGTTATATTTGTACGAGGGTGTGATTTCTTTAATATCCAATTAATATTTGTTTTCTTTTCTGTAATTCAATGAAGTAAATACTTTGCTTGAACTTTTTATTATGTATTCCCTCCAAATTAACGATACATCACTTCATAACATGATTGATAAGGAACTTCTTTATAAGGAATTTTATGCACAAGAAGTTCATGGGCCTGTGGCGCAACGGATAACGCGTCTGACTACGGATCAGAAGATTCCAGGTTCGAATCCTGGCAGGCTCGCAGTTTAACATTTTTGGAAAACCTTCAGTTTCTAACGCAGTATAAATGTTAAAAATATGCACTGTTTGAAAAGCATTTTTTAACTAAATACTTTTTAGTTCTATTAATAAGATTACTTATATTTTGTTGATAGTTATTATATGCATTTTACTAAGTATTTGCCATTTCAGAAAATTCACTTTCAGGTTTTGACCTTGGGGGCCAGTTTAATTTTGTTGATTTTTTTGGGGGGCGGGGGGGCGCAGCCGGGCTGTTGGCTCCCTTGTTTTTGGTTGGATTGACCGGTCCTCCTTTTAGTCATATGGCCGGCTAGGTGGACTGGAGGCTTGCGCCAGTTAATACAGTATCGGGACTTTCACATACTGCTACAATCTTATAAAACACTTTAAAGGCTTACTAAAAATAAAGTTTTTGCTACCGTATTAATCTTTTATCTAGAAGAATTTTCATAGAAATCATAACAATGTAATGATATATTTATAATTTTTAATACAATAAGTTTTGCAGTTTTGTTTTTATTACAAAACTTTAAAAGATTTGAAGACTAATGTGCACTTATTTCTATCCCAAAGACATTTTCATTAACTAATATATCTAGTGTCTACCCCTATCTCCTTTCGAACATTAATCTGAACCTTAATCAGACCAGTCTTTAAAAACTGTTTTTATCAGAAATAAAACAGAAATCATTTCGATAGTAATTACTGATCCTAAACCCCTTTTATATGGTTTCATCTTCTACAACACAAAATTAGTACAATTTTTTAAATATGAGCCAACTTTTGCATGGCATTTTTGTTTAATATTTATTCTAGGGACATTCAGATGATTTTGAGAGAAATTTTAGATCGCCAAGTTCATTTTTATGTAAACTAAATTAAAAAGCAACATAAATTTTCTCCAAAAACGTCAGACAAATACTCGTTACCTTCTCGTTTCAGAAACATCATTTTCCAAGCATTTACCATTCTGCAAAATGAGTGAGGAATCCCAGGAATCCAAGCAGTCATCAAACTCCGCTAAAACGCTGTCAAGAACTTCCAAAGATCGTCGAATATCTTCGTGTCTGCAAAAAAGAAAAGTAAGTACGCATGTCAATAGATTTTAACTTTTTCATTACATATTTGATACATAAAATAAAGTGCACGTTTTTGTACTGAAACACATTTTATTTTATCCTTATATTATAGGATAGTTTTAGATAGAACTCACAATTTTGATTACCATCGTTAGAGTCTTTGCAGCATTTGAAAATTTAATTAGCGTCTAGACGAGGCCCACCAACGGTCGAGCGTTAAAGTCGCTGAATGCTAGTAGTTCGGTCAGAAGTTCGAATTCCGGTGAACGGGCTCGCTGCAAGATCGTTTTCATGGTTTCCCCATGTGTAATGTGTATTCGATTCCCTCAGTAAGTCCTCCCTCTCCTCGAGTGCTTTGCTAGAATCAAACAAACAAAACAAACTTCGTCTAGACAAGTCTAGTAATGTCGTTAGTGCGAGCGATTTGAAAGTCTTTTTGCTCTCATTTGCTGCCCAATATGAATAAAAACTAATAACAGGCATCTTTAATAAACGAAACTCTGTTTTATAAGGGGAGATTGTAAAGTGAATGGTGACAACGCACGAATGACGTACATTAGGTCCAGGATGAGTTGACGTAAAAGCTATGATGGAACCGCGCGGTTAACGGTTACAGCCAAAAACATAGCGGCAAAAACATCGCGGAGAAAACAACGCAAGGCAAAAATGTCGTGGTACAAAATATCGTCGTCTAAAATAAAACGGTTCAAAAACTTCGCAGTTTAAAAACATCGTCGGTATAATATCGTGGTAAATAAACAATATAATAAACGATATCGTGGTAAAAAATAAAGTACTTACAAATCATCGCATGGCGATAACATCCAGACATGCGTTTATAAGGCTTTAATAATTATGAATAAATATTCGCATAATGATTTGCGAGCGCAAGATGGAAAGAAGGATAATTTTTACTTTCATATTTTTTATTAACTAATAAATTTGAACAAAACAAGAAATAATTTTCTCTATAAGAGTATCAGATTAACAAAAGTGAAGAAAATAATGTCATAATTAATTTAGCAATTTTTTTATAGAAAAGGTCATGCAGTTACTTATCTTTCTTTTTCTATTCCTTTTTAGTGCTTTAAATTGCATTAATTTTCTATGCTTAAATTTCCATGTTACATTTTCAACAAATATTTATTAGTTAATAAAAAATATGAAAGTAAAAATTATCCTTCTTTCCATCTTGCGCTCACAAATCATTATGCGAGTATCCTTTTTACAATTATTAAAGCATCTCTTAAATCCGCATATCTGCGATGTTATCGTCATGCGATGATTTGTAGGTACTTTACCTTTAACCACAATATTTTCGACGACGATGTTTTTAAACCGCTTTATTTTCGACGACTATATTTCGTACCACGATGTTTTAGAACTGCGATGTTTTCTCTTTGCTTTATTTTCTCTCACGATGTTTTGTACCACGACGTTTTCGCCTTGCGTTGTTCTCCCCGCGACGTTTTCGTCCGGGATGTTTTCGGCGGGCACCTGGTTAACATGGCATTCGTTACATTGGGAATCGTTTGTGGAAGGTAAGCATACTAATGTTACAGTGGCCACCATATGTATCCACAAACTCAACAATGAGTTTATTTGGCTGCGAAAGGTCTTTAACTGATGGATGTTTATCTGGTTCTGGTCTTTTATGCAGTTAACCTTTGTAAATAGCTCTGCTGCACGATAATGTGAGCTCACATGCTGTCAGGGTAGTGAAGTAGAAGATGAATACCCTATTAGTCTTATATGACTTTTTCATCTTCCGGTATTGCATAAAAGTTCCTGAAAGAATTCCATTCGTGAAAATGATATGGAGAAAAGTGTATTAGCATTTTTATGCAGCAAATAACAAAATAACATACATGTCGAAATTTATTTAATCTCTTATTTATTTTTATACATTGTATGCCATGTTTAATTTTTTTTTTACTTGATATGTTATAGATAACGATGAATGATGCTATCTAACGACTAAGGATGATATGCGCATTGAAATATTTGTTTAATTTAATTAAATACGACAAAACGTGTAAGGGGCATCTGATTAACGAGTCGATTATCTTCGTATAGTATATTTGAAGTGAAAGTGAATCGTATGCACTTTGCACATAGAAAAAATCATAAAAACGCCCATGCAGCCAACCCATTTTTAAAAAATCAGAACGCAGGCAGAATGTGCATTAGAATGAATATTTACGCTGTAAAAATAAAAAAAAATAAAAAAAAATAAAAAAAAGGGGGGGGGAAGAGCGAGTGCACCCAGCTGAAGATTCGGCAGAATTACTGTAGATGATGTGATAAAAAGCGATTTTTAACTTTGATATTAAAATTACTCTGATTTAACTGTTACAACATATTGCATCTAAAAACATTTACATGCTAGAAAAAGGCCTAAAATTTTTTTTGCATCTACAAATTTTTTAGAGAAAAAGGCTTGATTTCCGATTAAAAAATTCAGAGAAAAATCGATGCGTCCTTCACGAACGAAAACCTTTGTATCCCATTAAAAAAAGTGCAATTCCCGACACTCTTGTTCTAAATTTATTGCTTATCGCTATTACTTAGATGACTGTGAAAAGCTCAGTAATAGGATCTCGGTTTACCCGGATTTTAGACGTTCGATACTTTGTCAAGATCTGGCAAGTTACAGCCCACTCAGCCTCTAATCTGTCTAGCTGATGATGGACAAAAAGAAAGATTTTTAGCCCTGTGCTGATCATCGTATTCAGATCTTATAATAGACGAGCCTTACCCACAGGACTCTTTAGTCTGCCACCAGTACATTACCGCTTTGGCGTCAGTATTAGAGACTGCTTTGCTGTTTAGATGTATAGGCTTAAAAATAAATATAGAGTTACCTAAAATATAAACTGAGTATAAAATTTCGTGAATGTTTGAATCTGGAACTATGTTATCAACCATATAAACAATTAAAGTGTGAAAATGAAAATGAAAACCGGATCAAAATTTTCAATTTTAAGGTTACTCAGAGGAAAGGTTACTTTACATTACAGAACAAATGGACTAATAACTGATAAGTTTAACAATACATATATTTGCAATGCCTTGGTTAAACACGTGAAATGAGGAAAGCTATCAATATAACGAAATTAAAATTGTCGGATTATTTTAAAATTGCATCCAAGAGAAATAATGACGGGATCTTGAAGATTCAATCGATTCAGCTAATTAAAACACAGATATAAAAATAAACTCAAATATTTAGTTATTAGCGTACATTTTTTCCACAACATTACAAAAACAAACTTTCTGACATGTTTAGAACAGAAAACACTACACCGTTCTTTGGTAAAATCGCTGCTTTAAAACTGATTGGTATTTTGTGTGATTATGATCGAGTTTATCCAGTCGCCTTAAAAATGGCTTTAAAAATGCCGTATGGCCTATCATTTTTCGAGAAATAAGTTATTTTTGAGGGAAAACCGCGTTTTAACTATCAAATACATTGCTATTGATATGAAAGGTTTTACCAGAACTGCTAGTGAGTGCATAGCCCCTTTGGTGTAAGCATGGAACAGATTGATGACAAATTCGGGTATTACTTCGAAATACATATTACTAAAAAGCATCGGTTGAATACATCGATAGTGATTTAAAGGCTGCTGAAACTAAAGGTCAGTTTACACCTGTCAGAGCGGCTCGGAGCGATTCGCTCCTTAGGATTACTTTGACAATGTAAACGCTCACTTCGACGGAGTAGAAACGTAGGGGAAGATGAGTCAGCGCTTCCGTTTCTACTTTGAACCTGTTGAAAAATCTCTCCGCGTTCGCAGGGACATCGTGGCAGTGAGTTCTATAATGCCGAGATTAAGCGATAGCTAAAACCATGGCATTTTTTTAATGCATACGCATCTTATGAAGTGTTTTACTTCTATAATTATGTGAGCTTATATTCATTTTTCTACAAGCATCCCTAGATGAGGATGCAATAAATATATGATATTATAAACTATAAAAATAAAAAGGGAATTATGAAAAAGATATGTAGATCTGTTTTATTGGGGATATTTAAATTTCTTGCTTTGTATAAAACATTCTGGGCTATAATTCATTACAATTCACTTGGATGTGTGAGTGCAAGTACTGAAGGTGTATTAAGTTTTATACAAATTATACTAGATGAATTCTAATCTTCTTAAACTATCCGTTTTAGCATTTAAAAGTAAAGCATAATCGCTATATTTAATCGATTATTAATTTTGTTGATATCAGTTTGTGTATTGTCTAGAAACACAATTTCAGTAGGATCCAAAAGTAACAATTTGCGGTAAATATCTTTCTGTTGGAACTATGTCACAATATGTATATTCTTTTACCTGTGGTAATGTATGTAATGCTCCCAAGTTTTTTGCTACTTCTTATTTATTTAAGATTTTCTGAATAATTAGGTAGATATTATGCAGTTTACTTCTGTCGTGTTAAGGTAGCGTTGAATAAATATTCCATTTGTTAATTTTGCATTCTTCTCTAGAAATAACACAGTTCCAGTTAGAACTCTGCATAATTAATTCATGCACAGAGAGCTACTGATTCTGTGGATTCTGGATGATAAATATATTTTCTTCCTATTAATAAATAATAAAACACATTATTACTTTACTTATTTTGTAAATGATTAATTAGGTGTAAATAAACAGTTGTATATTATAAAAACTTTGTTAATTTGAATTTCAGTAACAACAGTTGACTAAATAACTTCTCTCAAACTGAGTTTCTTTTAAATTCTTGTATCTGATATGCAATAACGTTTTTGTAACTTTGGACATTCTCGTCCGAAATTCATTTAATAGCTCATTTGATACTCCTAATTCATCGCGGCAAGCTACCCAGTCACGCACCCATTTTCTTTTCTTTTTTTTTTCCCCTCCCAAGAGCAGAAATTAATTCGTTTGAAACTGCTTCGCAGACTTCAAGCACTGCAGCCAAAGAACATCTATAATGCATATTGTTTCCTGCAGCTG